CAATCGGAACAACGTGCGTGTCTAAAGGTGTGCACACGGACCACCCCTGTGCCCCGAGTCCTGCTGAGCTGGCCAACCCTACCAATCTTTATCCTCGCGTGCAGCGAGCCTTACACCGACCGATTGGCTGATCAGGAGGCGTTTTTATGGACGGCCCCCAAAGTCCTCAGGAATAATTTAATGTCGCAAACAGGACGGCAATCACAGCCAAAGGAAGGTCCCCGCCGGTATTTATTTATAGATGTCCGGTCTCGTCTTTCCCATAGGGCTGGCCTGCCCCTCAGAACCCCTCTATAGCGCAGCGAGCAGACAAAGGACAAAGCAGCAAAGCATGAGTGCTCTACTCCCGGTGGGTTGGCATGGTGACCGTGACCCAGTGCTTCGTCCAGGCCCCTTCAGATAGCACCGCCCTCTCCTTTCAGATGATCCACATGAACACTGACGACTCTCAAGGTTGAGCGCACACGACTCCTCACATGAGAGGACTCTCAAGACATAACACACATCCTCACGGTAAGAAGTGTCGAAGAGGGTAGATAAGGTTAGGTATAACGTACCTCAAAATAGCTGCCCCCAACCACAAATATTCTCACCAGATGACCCGATGTTGATTGTGATGACCAATCGTTGCTTCGGCACAACCAGCATTGCACCACCGTTCCACCTCAGCATCAATCACACGTCGGATAGTTTTCATCACACTGCGAACACCCAATATTCAGCACTTAGTAGCCTTCCTGGCGATACCCCTCACCTCCTGGGTCGCCTCACTTGTCTCCACCCTCCTCACTACACACCTCCCACGGTCGCTCGCCCAGCAGACCGCGTGCATGTACCGCAAAGGCAGAAGACAAGCGCCAGATGAGCGCACCGTACCACAGCTCTGATAGCAAATTGCAAGGAAAATGAGCAATAGCGAAGTCCAGAAATCAAACAGCATCATACACATGTGACCAGATAGTCGTGACCTTGAACCAATAGCAGAATTGCATCACGAGTTTCACCAAATAAGAGCACAGCAAAAGCTCATAAATGACAATGCTGGAATAGTCTCATCATCATCAACGAAGAACCAATGTCGATATCCTATCTGGCGCTCGGTGCCCAGACTACAAATGGCGGATCCTATCTAGCCTATCTACAATGCCGCTGATGACGTCAACAGCTCCCCGAAGTACGAGCAGATATCGGCCAATGCTGTGCGCTATAAGCACCAGGTGTGTCTCTCGTATCACTCAAAACCTCGTTCCCCAACTCACAGATGCCACATGCACCCAAAGACCACCATGCGCCCCATCCAGCATACAGCAGCGCAGCTCAGCTATGGCTGCCTGCTCCTTCCAGCTCGCCCGTGAGCGCGTGAGCGCTGGCCAGCGTTAACGCAGCAGCGCTTGCGCAGCATGCAGCCAGTGCCCGAATCCGAATGTGTGGGCAGGCACTTTCCTAAATGGAAGTGGCCTGCCTGCTTCGTGCAGCTTGGCTGTGCTGGGCCCCTGCCCAGAAGCTTCCGGTAGGCCCAGAGAGGCTGAGCCCCAGTCCAAACAATTCAGGCCCTGGGCCTGTGGTGGTTGCCCGTATCCAACTGCCCGTGGCCTGTGTTCGGTCCATGTAGCGAATCTGGCCCAGGGCCTGCCTCAGTTACGTTGAAAAGAGGCGGCCTGGGCCTGGGCGCTCTCAACCAACTGGCGCTGCGCAACTGCCTGAATTTCCCCAGTTGCGTGGTGACCCCAAAAATGGCCTGTAGGCCTCGGTCGAGCCTGCCTTCACTTAGGGCGGCCGACTGTGCTGAAGATAGGGCCCAGTAGGGCGTAGAGAGGCCTTGTGCCTCGCAAATGTTGACTGTTTAAAAAAACAAAATGCCCAACTGTTCACATGCCGTTCTGTAGTCATTACCACGATCTTATTCTTTATCATTTGAAAAAGGGTAGGGGGATCAGAGTGGTGCGTGTGGGCAATTTTGGGAACCGTTTGTGCGCCCTTAGTCAAGGAAAATAGTAGTCAAACAGGCAAGAGCTTCTATGGCTTTTCCCAAGCAGCCATTCGAGCTCCATGGGTCAAAAACAAAAAAAACAAAAAACTGGTCCAAGCTGATGGCAAGGGTGTGATCCAGAAAAACACTTCACAAAACAAAATCATAAATTTAGTAGTATTTGAAATTCCCTGAGTCGAGAAACTTCATCACAAATACTGTGGAACACTCTCCACCTGTAGACTCAACCTCTCCCTTCTGCCTCCCTGACTCTCTCTCTCTCTCTCTCTCTCTCTCTCTCTCTCTCTCTCTCTCTCTCTCTCTCTCTCTCTCTCTCTCTCTCTCTCTCTCTGTGCCTGCCTGTCCGTATGTCTCTTTCTCTCGCTCTCTCTCTCTCTCCCTCTTCTCAGTGCAAACTGCCATTTCAGGGATATTTTGCTCAATTCATTACAAAACCACCTTCACTCAACGCTAGAGACATAAAAATGAGAAACATAGAGAAAAGAGGAAAGAAGAAAACATGAAATGCAATAAAAGAAAGAAGATGTATCAGAAGTAAAAAGAAGATAGCATTTGAAAATATGATTTTGAGTAGAAGAATTGGATGGATCACAGTGAATATTGGTCTTTACATCTTGCACTGAATACATCAAAGCACAAACAATTTTATTACGATAGCTGCAGATGCGAGGATAAGGCTCCTAGGAAGGCCAAATGGGCCCATGATGCAAGTGCGCCCACCCTAAGTGAAGGCGTGCCTAACAAATCACGAGAGGCCCAATGCTGTCAATTTCGTATTTGGGGTTTCAGGCAGTTGTGTCACGTCAGTTGGTTGAGGGAACCCAGGACCTGAGCAGCAAAGATTTTCCACCGCCTTCTAGGCCTTTCCTGAAGTGCAGGCCCTGGGCCACATTCGCAGCAGTACACACAGACAGTTAGGCGGAGCAACTGAACGAGGCCCAGCAGCACCAGCAGAGGCCCAGCAACCTGGGGCCTACCGGAAGCTTCTGGGCGCAGGCCCAGCCAAGCCAGGTCGAAGGCCAGGCAGACTCTTTCCATATAGGAAAGAGCTCGCTGGCTGAAGCCTCATTCAGGCACTTGCCAGCTTGCAGCAGCGCTGCTGGAGCGAACGCTCACGTGCTGCTGCTAGCGCTAAGTGCAAGGTGCTGTGCACGTGCGGTCGTGTGGGAAGAGCGCGCTGCTGAGGGCAGCGCCATAGCCCAGCTTCCATAGCTGGCTGGGCTTGGAGTACAGCAAGGTGCAGGGGTGGTCTTCGGGTGCACAGAGGGAAGACAAGGTGGGAAGACAAGAGAGAGAGAGAGAGAGAGAGAGATGAGGATGATGATGTGAGGGCTCATACCTGGTATTGGTGATGGTCTGCATTGGGCGACATCTTCATGTACTTCGGTGGCTGCTNGAGAGAGAGAGATGAGGATGATGATGTGAGGGCTCATACCTGGTATTGGTGATGGTCTGCATTGGGCGACATCTTCATGTACTTCGGTGGCTGCTAACGTCAACAGTTGCATTGTCAATTCTTAGGCAGATAGTAGCTGTGTGGGAGTAGTCTGGGCGCCGAGCGCCAAGTAGGGGGAAGGGCCTGGACTCTTATGTTGGTGAAGACGAGAGTAAGCTCTCATTGACATTCAGTTTCAGTGTTACGATTCTCCATTGGTGTATTATTGGTGCAATGCTACTTCCTGGACACTGTGGGACTTTCTGGCTTTCAATGTGATTGTGCAATCTGATTCTGTCATCTCCCTATTGCTCATTTTCCTTGCAATTTGGTATCGGAGCTGGTTCGAACTGTGCTTTACTGGTTCTTCGCAATAGCTGTTTGGTGCTTCGCATGAGGTGTGGGCCAGTGATAAGGCTTGGGCATTGGACGATAGGCGACCCAGGGTCGTGTGGGCGGGCCGGGAAGGCTATGTGGTGACATAGGGATGTACACTGGATGATGAGAGCTCGCTGATGTGGCATTTACGCCGAGGTGGAACTGCATTTCGCTGTTTGTTGTGCCAAGGCAAGGACCGGTCATCATAAATGCACGTCAGGTTGCCGGTGAGAAATCTGTGGTGTGGGGCAGCATTATGAGGTACGTTGCTCTCTTCCTCAACTACCCTCTTCATTACTTCTTACCATGAGGAAGTGAGTTATGTCTTGAGAGTCCTCTCGATGTGAGGTGCCGCGAGCGCTCAACCTTGAGAGTCGACATTCTTCCTGGGCAGCAAGCTGGTGGGAGACGGGCAAAGCCTCTGAACGGCCCTGGACGGAGCACTCGGGTCACGGTCACCATGCCAACCCGCTGGAACTAGTACACGCATGCTTTGCCGCAAGTCCTTGGTTCTGCTGCTGCACAATAGAGGTCATGTTGGGCATGCCATCCCTTTAAGAGACGCTTACCAGACCGTCTAAAAAAAATTCTGGCAGGTTCCGGTTGAACCCTGGCTGTGATCGCCGTCCTGTCTGCGACGTTAAATAATTCATGAGGACCTTGGGGGCTGTCCTTAAACTGCCTCTTGATCAGCCTGATCAATCGAAGTAAGGCTCGTTGCATGCGAGGGTAAACAAGGTGAAGGGCTGGCAGGTTTAGCATAGACTTGGGGCACAGGGGTGGGCTGGATTGCACACCTTTAGACACGCTGCTTAACCAGATGGTTAGGACGTCGACACAAGAGACTACTCAAGAGGGATACAGGCGAAGGGGGTGATTCTGACAACTGTTCACTGTGGTACTAATTATATAAATTGCCATCCAGCATGCACTCCACAGGTAGTTTACTTTTATTTTCGATTATTTAGTTGTATGGACTTGGTGACAACTATCAGATAGCTGCAGATAGGATAAATCAATTCTTGCTACATTGCATTTTGTTTCAGAGTTATCTAAAAATATAAATAGACTTACCTTTAGGAACCTGACATTGATTGTTGGTTACCATTTGACTACTACTCTCCAGGATGACCGAATCAGTTGACTATTATACTCGGTTGGGTGTCGTGCTGAGGTAGGATTCGGTATGGATTCTAGTTTAGATCACACACCACTGTGGCTCATGAGTGAAGCAGTTAGTAGTGAGGAGGAGGAACTATTAGTGGAAGACCTAAGAGTGACCCACATAACTGCTTTCAGTCGACCGATCACTTTCCAAGAGTTAGGTCCAGGAGAGGAAAGGATGTTGAGGAGGGAAGCCAAGAAGAGGGTGGCATTACAGAGGTCTAGGGCAGCAGCAGCCAGCATTGAGGCGGTAATGGCTACCGCCTCTACCATGTCACAGGCCTCTTCGTCAAGAATTAGTCAGGGGTTTCTCAGGGTTCCGTTAGTCAGTTTGTTGGTTCGCAAGTCAGCCAACAGTCTCCTCTCACACCAGAGGATTATGAGATCTTCCAAGCGGAAGTTCTTCATAATGAACTATAGCAACAGTTGAGGGATGCAACAGAGAGAAGGCAAAGGGTGATATTGAGAAAAGTTGGACTAACAACTAGGAGGCAGGCGTTAGGGAAGTTACAAACACTAGATGAGGCATCACTGGATCCTGCAATGAAAGCGCTGCATCGCTCGCTCCTTTATGTGGCAGAAACGCAGGTTGTCCAACAGGAAGCGTTGGCTAAACTAGTGGCCGGCCAAAACCGAATTCTGGCTTCTCCGCAGGCTTGTCGTCCCATGATGAGGCAACCTCAGTATTTTGTAGCTCCCCCTTCGGCTGTGGGTCCCACAGTCACACCGTCGCCGCCAGGGCCCTCTTTCTCTCCTATGTTTGACTTCTCTCCTTCAGGTGGTTTAACAACAGTTAGTGGTCTGGTTCTCAGTACTTCTCCCGTACCTTCAATGATGGTGGCAGCTACAGTCCCATCGTCAGGACAAGTGCAGGTTAGCATGCAGCAATCACCTAGGCAAATCCAACCTATGCAGTGGATGCCCAAGATTCCCTTGCTGAGTCCTAAACCTTTTTCTGGTGACAGGAAAAAAAGGATGAGGACCTGAACATCTGGGTGAGAACTGTGCCTACCAATGTGATGCACAAGCTCACAAGGCCAGAGCAGGAATTTATAGTCGGTGCCTCCTTTCTAGAGGGTTCGGCAGCCCGATGGTTAAATGGTATAGTGCGGCAACAAGGTTACGGTCAAAACTTTGATACCTGGGCCCAGGCCCAGACATTAGAGGACTTCGCACGGATTGTATACAACAGGTGGCATGACCCTCAAGGGGCTCAAAAGGCCACCGATGCAATAAACAGTTTTGGTTCCAAACGGTACCGGACTGTGCGAGAAGTCACAGACGTCGTTTAACGTCTGATCGTAGTGCCTGGTGTACGCTATGACCCGCAGGTCCTCCTCACAACTTATCTGAGATGTCTGCCCACAAATGTCAAAAATAAGCTGGTAGACGAGGCCAACATCGATGTCCATAACTTCGCTACTTTCAGCAACAAAGCCTTAGATATAGATGTTAAACTTGGGACCGCGCATCAAGGTCAAATAGATGGTAGGAAGAAGAAACTGCCCCAAGATTGGAGGAAGAAGGACAATCTCATGTTCGTCGACCATGATGGTCAAGCGACTGAGATTGACGACTTCCTTGACTATGGGGAAGACGCAAAGCACGCTGGGGCTAGCGAGACTTCGAATGGGGGAGTCGTAGCTCCAATCAAAGAAAAGGCTAGGGGGACCGGGAAGCAGAAGGTAGGCCGGTCCACGGGTCAGGGCGACCAAAAAACACCCGCATGGGTAAAACTTGGTTGAGATTAAGAAGTGTGGAGAGACCGAGTTGCTAGGGGCACGTGTATGAACTGTGGCAATTACGGCCACACGTCCAGAACATGTCGAGGCAAAAAGGTCACAACGAAGGTAGCCTCTCCAACTGTGGTAGGCTTATCTTCGAACCCTGGTGGTGCTTCTGCAAGCACTTCGCAGGGAAACACCTCAGGCCAGAAGGAGTGTTAGCCGCCCTTACTCCCGTTGAAGTGGTAACGTTGCCTTCACCACTTCAAGCATTGGCCAAGGCAATTGACCCATTTATCGCCCCACAGACACATTCAGACCCACCGATGCTATGTTCGAGAGATGTGTCTGAGTCCTTAAAAGAGTTCCAAACTGATTGGTCAACGAAGGACCCCAAAGACTCTTGGTCGATGATTAGCAAAGGTCTTAGGGGTGAACACATTTCGTGGTAGAGGTTGATGTAGGTGGCCGCAAAGTGGGCGCCTTCGCAGACATAGGCTCTACACGGAACTTCATCAATTGTGCTTGTGTGGATAGACTGCACTTAGGGGACCAAGTGCAGCGGCTGAGAAGATTTGTAGCATCTACGCTAGCCAACAAACATAGTATGGTTGTGCAAGACTATGTCAAGGACGTAGTCTGCACCTTCTCCTATGGAGGAGGGGAACCGAGACACAAGATCTCGTTCCTTGTCAGTGATGAACTGCCATTCGATCTGCTACTAGGCATGTACTATCTCGAGGTTGCTCAACCTCTATTCGATTGGGATAGGAAGGTGATGATCCACAAGTTGCCTAATGGAAGAACTATTAGACTGCAGAAGTTCAAAGCTAGCAGTCTAGTGGAGAACTATGGCTGCATGTGTGCATCTTCTTTCTATAACTATTATAAGCAGAATCGCGAGGAGGGCATGTACCTAGTCTTTGTCTCTGAGAAAGGGGAGGTCGTAAAACCACCCCCAGAGATAGAAGCAGTCGTTGCTCAGTATTCAGACCTCTTTGAGGATCCCGGTGGAGTGGTGGAAAGGGAGGTTGTCCATGCGATAGAAGTCGTCCCGGGTAGCGAAGTACCTAAAGGACGGATCTATAGGATGTCTCCTGCGAAGTTGGATGGGCTCCGCCGCCAGCTCAAAGAGCTCACAGAAAAGGGATGGATTCGACCGAGTACCTCCCCTTATGGTGCTCCAGTCCTATTCGTTCCCAAGAAGGGAGGTACCCTAAGGATGTGCATTGACTATAAGGGCCTCAATGCCATCACGATTAAGAATGTGAAGCCCCTACCCCGCATTGACGACCTCTTGGATAGAGTGCAGGGATGCTGACACTTCACAAAGATAGATCTGAAGTTCGTATACCATCAAATTGCCATTAAACCTAAGGACCAGCACAAAACCGCTTTCCAGACCAAGTACGGTCTGTACGAGTTTGTGGTGATGCCCTTTGGTCTATGCAATGCACCTGGGACATTCCAGCACGCAATGATTTGTGATGATGCCCTTTGGTCTATGCAATGCACCTGGGACATTCCAGCATGCAATGAATCGGATCTTTCATGATTACTCAGACAAGTTTATCGTTGTGTACCTCGACGATATCCTTATCTTTAGTAAGACTGTAGAGGAGCACACAGAGCTCGTGAAAACAGTGCTAGGTCTCCTAAGACAGCACCAGTACAAGGTCAACTTAGAGAAATGCGAGTTCAGTCGCTCCAAGATCTTATACCTGGGTCATGAGATTTGTGCGCATGGGTTAAGGCTAGACGATGCCAAAGTGACCAGCATACGTGACTAGCCCGAACCTCAGACTGTTAGGAGGTCCGATCATTTTTGGGGATGATGGGCTACTATCGTTCGTTTGTCAAAAACTATAGTATTGTAGCTTCCCCATTAACCGACCTAACCCGCCTTGACACCCCTTGGGAGTGGACCGAAGAGTGTGAAGCAAGCTTCAAGAAATTGAAGTATGCCCTGACACACTATGAAGTCCTCAAACTTCTGGATCTTGAGCAGCCCTTTGTAGTGACCGCAGACGCCAATCAATATGGCATAGGCACGGTCCTTGCTCAAAAAAAGGGGGAAAAGTTGAGGCCCATCGAGTTCATGAGCAAGAAGATGCCATCTCAGAAGTTAGCAAAGTTCACGTATGCGCGTGAGCTCTATGCCTTCTATAGAGCGCTTGTCCACTAGAGACATTATCTCCTAACCAGATCCTTTTATGTGAGATCTAACCATGAGACTTTGCGTTGGATAAAGACTCAGCCTGTACTCTCATATGCACTCAAAAGGTGGATCCAAGTGATAGACATGTATGATTATCAACTTGACCCAATAAAGGAAGAGTATAACAAAGTGGTTGATGCACTATCGCGTAGGGCAGATTATCTGAGCGCCCTAATAACGAGTTCGGTATATCTGACGATGTAACTCGATCTTTGGTGGAAGCCTGTTGGGAAGATACAGTTATGTCAGAAATCATCCGTAAGTTAGAAGCGAAAGATAAAGTAACTTCTCACGAATTTACGGTGGTCAATGGCTTGTTGTTCCTTGAAAAGGTTGGGAATAAGAGATTGTGTGTTCCAGATAGAGAGTCTTTGCGTAGTTTATTTTTAGGTGAGTGTCATGATGCAACGGGTCATTTCGGCTATAAACAGACGTCAGCTAACCTAGTGCAAAGATTTTGGTGGTTGTCTATGATGCGAGATGCGAAGAAGTACGTTGAAACTTGCCATGTTTGCCAATGGGTCAAACCTAGGACTCGGGCTCCGCTTGGGCTTATCAAACCCTTGCCTATTCCCGACGGTCCTGGTCAAAGTGTGTCCATGGACTTCATGGATACTCTTGTGACCAGCAAGAACGGTAAAAGACACATCTTCGTCATAGTGGACCGATTTACCAAGTACGCTAGACTGATCGCGATGCTGGAAACAAAAAAAACTGACTATGTTATCAAGCTGTTTATGGATAACTGGGTACGGGACTTTGGGTTACCCAAGTCCATCATTAGTGACAGGGACGTCCGCTTTACCAGCGAACTGTGGCAGAGCACGGCTCAACAAATGGGCATCCGACTGCAAATGACATGAGGGAATCACCCTGAGTCAAATGGACAGGCAGAACAGATGAACCGAGTAGTGCAACACTTGCTTCGGCATTACATCAAACCAAGCCAGGATGATTGGGACGAGAAATTACCACTCGTCGCCAGCCTGTACAACAACGTTGTGCACAACACTACTGGCACGACTCCCAACCAACGACATCTTGGTTGGAAGCCCAGATCCGCCCTGATCCGCCCTTGATTTCCTACTGCCTGAGAATCAGTCAACTGCAGCACCTGGCAGCATAGAATTTGCTGTCAAGTATGAACAGATGCTACAGCAGGCCGTTGAACACACTAGGAGGTCTCGGGATGCTATGATTGCATCTGAGAACAAACACAGACGACCTTCAAACTTTCAAGCAGGGGATAAAGTCTGGGTTAAATCATCTGAACTTGGTCAAGAGTTGGGAATTTCCCGAAAACTAATGCTGTAGTATTTTGGTCCCTGGGAGGTCCTAGACATAGTGGGGGATCAGATAGATGGACCTTCCTACGTCACACCCAGTCTTCCACGCCTCAAAGCTGGCACCTTTCACAAAAACTGCACAGTTTTCCCTCGAGACTGTAATGAACCCAGTCTGGCAGATACTCATCAGACGTGAAGCACTAGTCTCAAATCTGCACAAAGTCTTCAGTTAACGTGAAGTGATATCTGAAACAGTATCTCGTTACCATTAGACGAAGAGAGTGGAGGGGGAATAGACAGAGGAGAAGATATGATCACCCAAGAGTAATCCAATCAAACCCCACTTCTTCATCGGGCTTCCTCTCTCCTCCACGTCATCAACCAATACACAATAACAAGTACGATAAGTCCTGATCACACATAAGTGCCACGTGGCACTCTTATCTCGTGAAGACCATGAAGACAACAGCAGATTACGGTAACGACGTCAACCTCAGGTGAGTACCTGATCCCAATCATCCACAGATCCCGATCTCCCTCCTTGTCGCAACCAGTCACCTCATGTAGACAGCGTAGCCAATGCCACGTCAGATGTAGAGACAGGTGGCATGCGCCACATCATCAATGAAGACACGTGGCAGCGCCACATCAGCAATGCCTGGTGCACAAAGCACAAAGCGCCAGCATGCTACCACAGTCCCGCGTCGTCGTCCATAGTGCCTGCGCACACCCAGCGTCAATGCCTGCGTCCAGTCAGAGTCGAGCCAGCGAATGTTGACCACCTCGAGACCAGGCCCTTGGTAGTGTTTGACGAGGCTGTCTGGGCTCGGGTCCCCTTCCCACAGTCGTGCAAATTGACTCACAGCCGAGGGCCTGGATTGTGTACGGTTGCAGATTTCCCCTTGGTCCTGATGCTGTCTGGGTACCTGCATACAAACAAGTGTGTGCGTCTGACCAGCGGCCTGGGCTGGGTCCACTTTGGACTTTGACTGTTGGGTCCCTACAGTTGACTTTAGTCAACTGTTCCTCGCTCAGGCCCTGAATCTGTAGCTGGGGTCTTTTCCCCCTTTTCGGCCTGGGCCTGGGTGTGGTCTGGCGAGGCCCTCAGACTTTCTACAGGCATACTGTATGGGTTATTGCAAGACGATCAATGCTGCCCCCAACCATGGATGGTGAAGTCTACATCGACGGAATTGTGGAGCATCGGGTGATGCCAGTGCCTAAACCTCCCGGCAGAGGCCGTCCTCCAAAGCCAAGGATGCAGTATCTTGTCAGATTCAGAGTCTTTTCAGACACCATATTGATCCCAGTGAAGATTGGTGGTTTACTAGAGAAGAACTCCAGCGAACAGCGCCCCAAGTGATTGCAGGCTACGAAAGAGCACTCAAGGGAAAGTTGCTTGCAAATTAAGGAACTTCTCAGAGGACTATCAAAGTAAAGGAGGAGGGAATGCGAGGACAAGGCTCCTCGGAAGGCCTAAGGGGCCCCATAATGCAAGTGTGCCCACCCTAAGTGAAGGCGGGCCTAACAAATCACGAGAGGCCCAATGCTGTCGATTTCGTATTTGGGGTTTCAGGCAGTTGTGTCGCGTCAGTTGGTTGAGGGAACCCAGGACCCGAGCAGCAAAGATTTTCCACCGCCTTCTTGGCCTTTCCTGAAGTGCAGGCCCTGGGCCACATTCACAGCAGTATACACAGACAGTTGGGCGGAGCAACTGAACGAGGCTCAGCAGCACCAGCAGAGGCCCAGCAACCTGGGGCCTACCGGAAGCTTCTGGGCGCAGGCCCAGCCCAGCCAGGTTGAAGGTCAGGCAGACTCTTTCCATACATGAAAGAGCTCGCTGCCTGAAGCCTCATTCAAGCACTTGCCAGTTTGCGGCAGCGCTGCTGGAGCGAACGCTCACGTGCTGCTGCTAGCGCTAGGGGCAAGGTGCTGTGCACGTGCGGTCGTGTGGGAAGAGGGCGCTGCTGAGGGCAGCGCCATAGCCCAGCTTCCATAGCTGGCTGGGCTTGGAGTACAGCAAGGCGCAGGGGTGGTCTTCGGGTGTACAGAG